TTTTTATATAAATGATGCAGGTAATAGAACACTGATGTAGTACAGGTGGTTGCTTTTAAATTCTTAAGATGCTACAGCCTTAGATTACAATGCCTATTAAAATGGTATTGTTATTAATTAATCTGCAAATAAGCTTTTTTGCTGGTGCTACAGTTACACTTTTCTGCAGTACTCCAGTACCTAATAAAGGTTACAGAATGGCAGGGTTTGACTGCTGTTCAATTGTGCCGATTACTGTTGTTAATATTCAATATCTAGTATCAGTTTACATCTTCAAAAGGTTATTCACCAAAATAGTGTACTTTCGGTGCATTTTGTACATCGGAACAAGCATCGTATTCAAATGTTATTTAAACACGAGCAAGACAGTGCTTCAAGTGGTGTTTTGGTTCAAGAAACGGCCTACGTAGTCTAAAATGAAATAGCAGCAACCTCCATCTGTGTTTTTAATCTACGACACACTGGAAAAATATTTAAAATGTGGAAACTCAAACCCAACTATTTCAATAATCGTTGGCTGGAGCACAATTCCCAAGATGGGCCTCCAGTTCCATGTCCAACCCATTTACTTCTGGATACTCTTTTGCTTTTGTGATATACACCATTTATACAAAATTCTTAACAGTTGAATTCTTGAAAATGTCTTTTTATACCAGGCCAAAAATTCATTACAATCCTGCTACACCACGTGTACATCTCCATTTGTAATGTAATTGGGTAAAACTTCCCTGCTGTTTGCTCCTGAAGGAGTCCTGAATTGCTGCTGGAGGCATCATGACTTAGCCTTACTCTGCAGCCCAGGACAGTAAAACCTTTGTTTCCTGTGGCATAACAAGTCAGCAGTTCAATTTCTTGTGACCCCTTTGTTTTACACAGAGTCTGGTTTCGCATGGTGATGACTTTGACTCCCTTCACTTGAGGAATCCCTTCTGGGAAATGAGGCACCAGTGTTGTGCTTCATCAAGCAAACATTTCTATGCTAGACCTTAACTCACCTCCCCAGTAGCAGAAAGCCTTGTAAGGACTCACCTGGGTTACAGCTGCTACAGATTTCAAGAGTGGGATTTGTTGATTTGTTGGGCTGTTGCAAATTACCTTGTTCTGGGAGGGTAAGAAATCAGTGGCTCAGGTGTGGCACTGCATAACAACCCTCCTTAGGCCTAGCTCTTGTGAGCTCTGACTAGCTGGGTACTCAGAAAAACAAAAACAGAAAGCAAAACCTGCCTTCGTGCAGGGCCACTGTTCTTGTGGGCCCTGGGCAATGTGAATTACATCCTTTTTCTTCCATGAATCGTGAGGAATTATACAAACATTATAGCTCTCTCTAACCCTACACAGGAAACCTCCACAGTAAACTAACATTCATATTTTCTTCTTCAAATGGGACAACTCGAAAGAAAAGTGTATTTTATGCTTGGCTAGGAAAAGATAGGAAATATCCTATGCTCTTCAAAGAACTATAACACTCAGGTAAGTGCTTCTGATTAAAGTCAAGTGCTAAATGATTAAGTAAAACCAAAAGTCATAACATTTGAAACCAAATCTGTCCGATTTTAGTTAGGAAACTACCATACTCCTAGGAGATTAAATTTTCTCCCTTTTGCAAGAAATGTGCTTCTCTGTATTTTCAGCATCAACTATGATCATATAAAACAATTTTCAAAAGGGTTTCCTTCCAATACACCTTTTCAAACATAAGTGTTGTTTCTTTGTTTCTTTTTTTTTTTTAATTTTGAAGTGTCAAATGGGACAATTTGGAAGAAAGATTTATTATATACTTGTTAGGAAAAGATGTTTAGTTGCTCATATAGAACAGCTATGAACAACTATCAACTTTAATAAGACTTTTTTTTCAAACTCCTGCATGGAACAGGGAGTGCAGTGGTGTGGAAAATATCCAGGATCCCTCTGGCATTCTAGGACCAACTGGAATTCAGATGCACCAACTTTTTGTCAAATACAGGTCTTTTTAACACAAATGTAACAAAATAGTTCCAAGGGCATTCAGTCTCACAAACTTATACAACAGATGAGAGATGTGACAGAAACTCACTATTGAGGGGCTGTACAGACTTTACTGCTCTTTCTCTGCACTGTAACACTGCAATTTTTTAACTCAGGATGGTAAAGGCTTTGATTAAAATCTACAAACATGCCATTTGGTAGAAGTCCTTCTATTAAAATTCTTAATGGACTATTTTCAGACTCGGATCTTAACTCCCTTTGCAACATCAGTAAATGCTAGCAGCTTTCCTGAAGGGCTAAGATTCCCTTCTCTGAACACGTGATTTTCCTGGGTCACCACCAGGGTCCCTTAGACAGCAACCTTTACCACTGAAATAAATTGTATGTGATGTTCACACAACACCCCAGGCTGGTGGGGACCTCAAAAGATGCCCTGCTCCCACATTTTGTGGAAAAGGGATTTCAGAAGGGATTATCCAGCTCCCTCCCCACAGTGTCTGGAGAACCTCCACTGATGGGGACTCCACCACGTCTCTGGGGAGGTTCTCCCAGGCATCGATTGCTCTCACTGAAAAAAAATTCTCTTACATTAAGATGAAAAATTTTCCTTGTGCTCCCCGTGTCTATTACCTTCAAAACAATTAAGAATTGTTTTATTTATGCCAGAGCATTTGTACTCAAGTAAACTTTGTCAGAAGTCCATTTTCAGTGCATTTAATTTTATCCCAATATAGTGCACTATAAAACCCTTTCCCTCCTGGGACCCTTAAAAACAAACAAACAAACAAACAAGTAAATGTTGTTTGCACACAGTTAAGCCTGAGCAGGTTGATTTAACTCTATGATGTCCTTCCTGTATTCTTGAGGGGTCTGGCCAGTTCAGAAATATTTTTGTCAAACACTTTGTACAGCAGTACATAACAAATTTAAGTTTATTTAGATTTATTATCAAACTTCAGTACTAACTGTGTCACATGTTTGGGAAAATACAAAGTACATACAGCTATGGTCATAAAGACAGAAGTTTTTGTGCAAGAAAAAAACTATGGTAATTTGCTTAGATGCTTATATGCTGCACTTGTACTACAACTTTAGCATCAAAAAAACCATTAACTGAATTGTTGCTGCCATTTCTGGATATCTAAAAGAGTAAAAGTGTGTTTGACTCTCTGGATGATCTCTTCTGGCCCTCTGAAGAGAATGCATAAATAAATTTCTCAACAGCTACAAAGAGCAGGTTCCAGTACTGACATGTATAGACCTGAAAGTTAATTCTGGAATTGAACAGGATGCACAGAAATGTATTTCCAACAAGAATATGAAAAAAAAACCCCATAATATAATAATCTTGCATCATCAAAGTTGTTACATCCTCAAAATTGAGGGAAATAACCATCTCCCTGTAACTGGCATTTACCTGGACAGATACAGCACGCCCAGGTACTGATCTCTGTTCCTTTCTGTCCAGGAGCTGCACGTTAAGTCTGAAACACTAATTTCTGTGTCTAATCAGTGGTACAGGTTGTCAAAAGCACGTTCATTAGAAGATTACAATTTGTCCTCCAATTATTTCCCCTAAATATGTGTACAATTACAGTTAGACCTGTTTCTGGGGGTACAGCACTGTGGAAGGTGCCACAGGTGGACTCACTGGCTTTCCTGAGCCACGGCCAGAGATCCAAAGTATTCACTACTTGAACTGCGGCGTTTCCTGGTACAAAGTTCTCTTCTTTGTGTTTTTCCATTCATCTTTGTTAAGTGTATTGATTGTGCCAAAATATGTTTGATTCTCTTTGATTACAAGCTCCAAAAATTATCACTTCTCTCCACAATATCCCCAGCTTACTTTTAACTCTCAGAACCACCCAGAAAGCTGGAAGCAACAATATGCTTTATGGGTTTTGCCTTTAAATCTGTAACTTTATCTCAACTTGCCTCATTATTTTAAGGTAGCTTGTAGAAAGCTCATCTCTTTCAGACTCCTGTCCCCTCATCAATTTTGGATTAAATTGTCCAATGCACTTAAAAGACAGTCATGGTGCCTAGAGTTATTTTAAGCAGCAAGACTAGAAGTGCTCAAATTTTTTCACTGCCACTTCCATTACAACAATTCTTCACCACAATAGTGTGGTTTGTCTTGAGCAGAGGAGACAAAGAATTCAAAAGGAGTCAGTGCACTATAAATGGCAGTGGCAAAACCTGCCAGCTAATGGTAGCAATGTGTATGTAGAAGGAAGAAAGTACATGAAGCAATGTTCTACCTGTGGTACAGGAAATCAGGCTTGTGCTTCCTGTGAGCTTTTGAGGCTTTGAGAGCATCCCCAAGAGCGATGAATCCTCTAAAAAAAAGGGCTAAAAGACTGCAGAATGGAGCTACTTACACAATATTCTAACATTCACTGACAAGTATTTTCTCCTTTAATACAATTTTGCCACTGTCCTTTTCATGTATAGTGTGGGAGGGAGATCCTGCAACCCTTTTAGCTTCTAATCTTATCTCCAGGTTAAAGGGTGCAGGCTCTGCCTTAGTCAACTGACTGAGCTGGATGGAGTTACGGCACGAATAAGGTTTAAAACGTGCAGACTTAAAAATTAAGAACCATGCTTATGAGTGTGAAACACTGAAACTCTCATCTAATTTGCAATACAAAGGGCAAAGGCAGATCTGTATTTATTTATTATTGAGTACCGAATGCTGGCAGAAATTTGCCTTTATCTGAGGGTCTTTTGCTTCTTTCTCCAGCTGCCCTCCTAAAACATAATCCACCCCACTGCAAATGAGAGTCTGACACTTGCCTCTCAAGACTTCATCCCACCAACAACTTGTTTTTAATGATAATATAACACTTCAAAGCCCCATCTTCATCTACAAAGTGTGCCTTGCTGACTTACTCTCAAATGTAAATATTCCATGTCCTATTTCACTTGAAGGCAAACCCGTGTAAAGAACCATTTCTCGGATGGAAGGCTCTTTCCAACAGCATCAGGAGAGGGGTGAGAAATTACTCTTGCCCATGAAGTACTGAACTACTTACTGCAGAGTCCTGGCTGCCATTTCTGTTTGAAAGCAACTTAAAGAGCTTTGGTGCATCTCTTTGGCGAGTCTGCTCTGCCTTCACATGAGGTGACCCTGTGTGTGTATGTGTGTGTGTCCCCTCAGAACAGCCCGCCTGCACACTGGGCCCTGGGGTGGCCGATAGCTGCCCGTGTCCCGCAGGGACAGT